CACACACACACACACACACACACACACACACACACACACACACACACAGAGAAAGAAGGAAGGACAGACGCACAAACACACAGAAACAAGGAAGAACAGACAGACGCGCGCGTGCACACATATACACAGTCCGTGGCTGAGTGGGTGTGTAAAGTGTTTTTTTTTTTGTTTTTTTTTTTTTGAAGTGGGTTTTATGTCTGTGTCAGATTAGTTTCTCAGACTTACTGCCATTCTTGTCAGGGGCTTGAACCTGGATTGTGTCCGGTTGAACCTGGACACAGAGTCTGGTAGGATTGCAAGGTTGGTATGAGAAAAAGTCGACCACTTTTCTCTCTCTCTCACAAGGGAGGGTATCGCTAACTCCGGTCGATGTGGTGAGTCCTTATCCATCAGTCTGTCAAATGCATCCCGGGCAGACGGTCTGTGTCCACATTCATTCTCCTGCCTGATGAGTCGGTGAAAGTTCGACGAAACAGTCTGCCATAATCATGCTTAGCCGGTGAAAGTTCGGTGAAAGCTCGGTGAAAGTTCAGTGAAACTGCGGTGAAAGTTCTTGAGGCTGTAGCGAAAATACTTATGACAAACAACACACAGAGCGAGAGGATTTTACGCAAATCCTCTTCTCGCCCATTTCCGGCGCGGATGATACACACATCCACAGTCGGGTCGTATTCATTCTGGCTCTTGTCTTTAGAAGGAGCTCCCCATCAATATCACCAAATGACCTCATCTGGCCCCCATCCCTGCCATAGGGGCACTCGAACTCGTCACATATGGCTGCATCTCTGCGAAAAACATATCCAGGTTCAGGCGTTTATTCCAATCCTCTTTGCTATTGGTAGTGGGACTTTGCGCAACAGACGAGCGAACCCTCAAGAGCAGTGTGAACCACCGCACACTACCACCTCTTCCCACTGATTTGCCACGTCGGATTGGGATCCCATCCAGAGATCCACAAAAAAAAAGGTCTTTACCGCGAAGGAATGTTCATTCATTTCCCGTCCGGATTTCATTCCCGCGAAGTCGGAATCCGCCCCGCCCTTTTTTTCCTTTTTTTTTCCTTTTTTTTTGCTTTTTTTTGCTTTTTTTTGCTTTTTTTTGCTTTTTTTTGCTTTTTTTTTTTCTCTACCGGGAGTTTTTGTTCTCGTCCCGAATCCCGATACCGTTCAAGTGTGGCGTGTGGGACTCTTACCTTCTTCACACAGAGAAGGGGCTTGTGGGCACCTACAGGAACACGCAAGCTTCGATTTGTAACTGCGAAGACGGCATCTGGACCTCTCTCTCTTCTCTCTCCACTCTCCTATGTCTCCTCTCCCTCCGTTCTGTCTTCCCTCGTCTCTCTTGTCTCTTCCCTCTCTTCCCTCTCTCCTCTCTCTCCTCTGCCTGCTCTGCCTGCTCTGCCTGCTCTGCCTGCTCTGGCAGGTAGAGCACGTGAATGCTCTGGACATTCCACGTTTGTTAAGCAAAACATTTGCAATGATTCAATTTGACGCTAAGATGCGAGAGAGAGAGAGAGAGAGAGAGAGAGAATCAAAAAAAAAAACAGAGAGACTCCCCATTCTCCCTTCTCCTCTTGCTCTACCTCTTCGTCCTCCCCCTCCCCCCTCCTTCCCGGCGCTCCTCCTCGCACTTCATTCTCCGTGATGTGAATCTTCACAGAGAAGGTGGCGAAGATGCATTTTCACGTTCCTTTATGAATCTTCACAGAGAAGGTGGCGAAGATGCATTTTCACGTTCCTTT